GTCAATACATGATGGATGTTACTCCTTCATTCACTTTACTATTCAACATTTTTAATTCTTTTTCAACAAATGTTTACTAATATTTTCTTAAACATTATTTAATTAACACGCTACTTAATGTGAACAAAGAAGAGCTAAGACACATTAAATTACATAAGATCCTATGAACAAGATGAAACTCAAGCTCACGTGGAAGACCACATGGGAGTGATGGTAATATGGGAGGTTACATGGAAGCTCACGGCCTCAAGAGGAAACATATGGAAGCTCATGGCTTTATGAGCTTAAAGGGCTGCAATTCAGGCCTCATAAAGCATATAAGTTATGGCTTGGTCCATTTAAGTGGGAGAAAATATGTAATTCAAGCTAAACAAAGTTCATATGAGATAAGTCTATGATGATCCACTTCAAGGTATATATGGGCTTTATGGATGGAGTACTACAAGAACATGAGCAAATAAATACAAGAGAGACTTTTAAATTTATGTTAAGGGATAGATCCATGAAGAATGGAGGGTTGCGTCAAACTTTGAAGGTCTTACGAAGGAAAAATCATGCTCACCAAGTCAAGGAAGGAATTGGCCTTTAAAGTGTTTAAAAATCTAAAAAACCCAAGTAACCAAGAGTTTTACACGTTATGGACTTGTAGAAAGCCATTTTTTCAAGATTTTTTAGAATTAAAATCGAGCCGTAATGTGTCTTAAAGCTTAAAGACACTCGACTAAGTAATTATCTAAATGATAGCCATCATGAGTTATCAAAATCTTAGACTTTTGGACAAATAATCTCCTAACCACTCACTTTTCTTATTATGAATAACTTGGGTAGAATTATAAAGTATATTAAGCACATGGAGGATCAAGAATTCTCATTTTATAATGATATGACAAATTCACTCATGATAACTCATTTAAAAAAAAAAAAATCATAAAGATTAGGGAGTACTTGGATTCACACATGAGAAATTTGCTTTCGTGTAAAAGAATTTTTCTCATACTTTATCTTATCACAAACGAGTAGTTTCTTCTCAAAAGTTTTATCTATATACAACTCATGTTAATTCATCCAAAAATGAGTCCTATAGGTATAAGAAGTCGACCAACAAATATCCTAAAAAGGTTACACACAATCAGTTATCAAAAAGAGTCATTAATCCCTTGAACTCTCAGGTTTTTTTTATTCATTTTACAAATGGGGAGAGTCTTATTAAAGTTTAGAGCATGTTTAACATGCAAAAATAAATGATTTTATCCAATAAAATCTGGTTGGGATTCCAAATCCTCAAAGTCACCAACTTGGATACAATCTTCGCCACACATTCTCTTAATCAAGATGTGAAGTTCAACTTCTAATCAAATTTGGAATCAAGAGTTCTTATCATGATCGAATATCACTCAAACAAAATCATCTAATAAGTCTTTTTTATGTATTCTTCTCAAATCCGAGAATTCAATGATAAAGATCAAAGATTATAGACGACCACACACACACACACAAAAAAAGAGTCTTAATTTATTTTATATTGTTATTGTTTAAAAAGTCAACGTAATCTTTAAGATAAGTATTTATGAGTTTAATTTATATTACATTTCTTATGACCTACATTTATAAATAGGTCTAATTCATTAGTTATAATTTATATCGAAGTTTGAGATCACTAAAATTAAAATGTTTTATTTTTTATTAGCCGTTGGCTAAATTGCTCTTTAGGAAAGTTTCTTTAGCTTTCTTATTGAATGGAGAATTGATGTCTACTTGTAGTGTTTTCATCAATTTCTTTTTGAGTTAATTTTGATTTATCAAAATATTTTTTATAACATTCTAATCAATTAATTTATCTCAATTATCTTAATTATAATTACAAGTTTATTGTGGGTTAAGTCGGGAGAATTTTTTTAGGGAATAAGTTTTTATACTAATGTGTATATGTGAATTTTTGATCACATTGGTTGATCATCATATAATGAATCAAAGAATTTATTTGTGATATGATAACCAGTTTTTAGGAGATATATATAGTCAAGCATTATAAAAATATATATGTTTACATTTATGAAATTTGTAGATTAATTGATTACCATTATGTTTTAAAAATTCTAAATTTTTTGGAATAATTTACTTCTAAATTTGTATATTTTAATTACAAAAAAAAAATGAAAAATCCATCTAAAGTGATAAAAGTTAAGTTTATGTTGAAATTTGAAGTAGTTTAAATTTCATTAATTTTGATTGAATATAAAATTTGATACTCTAATTCAACATTGAATTCCATATACTCATCTCATATCAACTGTAACAGCCCCGGAAATTTAAAATGGAATTTTATATTCAAAAATATCAAATGCGGAAGCGAAGTCAAAATTTGAATAACATCCCTTACACGAAAACCAAAAACGTGCTCAAAATATAAAAGATTAAACTACCTAAAGGGGAAACTTGAAAGTAAAAACTACGAATGTGACTACGGAGTCCTTAGGCGTCCCCTTCGTCGTCCTCCTGCGGAATCGGCTCGGGAACGATGTCCTCTTGATCTGAAATGATTAAATAAGGAATGAGCTACACTAGCCCAGTAAAGACATCACGATATCTCACCGTCACGGAGGTAAAGGTGGGTAGAAAACACAAAAGACCAATGGAGCATGATTTACGACAAATCCTTTTATTAATAATAAAACCTTTACCATCCACTTACCTCGGTGGAATTTATAAAACAATATACGAAAGCAATAACATTATCATAATCATGGAATCATATAAACTGTAAAACATAACACTTATCACGCCTTTTGTAATTCAATCATTATACAACATATCTTTTCCTTATTTACCAGCCTACTAATATCCGTGGGGGTCCATAGGGGTCCCGCTACCCGTTAACCTTTAACATTCGTCATCGGATTCCAGGGCCGTCCCCATACCCCGTCCGGTATGGGCGCCAAAATCATAAACCTCAATACCCCGTCCGGTATGAGGGTGAAACGGGCCGTCCCCATACCCCGTCCGGTATGGGCGCCAAAACCATAAACCTCAATACCCCGTCTGGTATGAGGGTGAAACGGGCCGTCCCCATACTCCGTCCGGTATAGGCGCCAAAACACACAAGATCTCCATACCCCGTCCGGTATGGGAGACCACAATCCCGGTAGGGTTCCCTACGGACCCGGTCCGTCCACCATCTCCCAGGATATCTAGTCGGGCTGAACACATTATATAATTTCCATTCACATAATCTTTCATTCTCCTTTTCCCTCAGTCAGCATTATTAATCACATACAAACAAGCAAAACGATAATTTATGCTAAGCAGACAACATACAGCATCAATATCCCGGTCATTTAATCCATAATCAATAAAACAGTAAAACATGCACACGAAACTATAAAATGAAAACATCGAACCTCATGCTACATTTAAAACTGTAAAACATGCCAAATAACAGTTAACCAACAAATACACTAGACTTGGGCTCCATTAGCGACCTTAAGCAATTTCACACATTCGTTGATTCATGAAATACCGTTTTATCATTTATTGAACTTTAAAACCGTGATAGGAAATAGGGTGAGGGGTCCTTACTCGTTTCGGGGTCCGAACACGGCTTCACAGTGCGCTTGCAGGCTGTCCCTAATTTTCCCTGAATTTTCATCGGGGAACTGAAACGCACTACTGGTACCTGCACGTGTTCCAAAAAAATCCCAAATTAGGCCCAGGGCCCCTTTCGGCCCTAATCGCAACTCCGGCACGGCGGCTCCGCCGTGCTCCGGCGACGGCGCCGCCGCTGGCGGCGGCGATTCGCCTCGAGTTGGCTGTTTTCGGCCGTTTTCGGTCGAATTCGGCCACACTCGCATCGGTCCCTGCGAGAAAACAACCCTAGGATCCTCGGGGGGCCAAAAAATCACGGAAAAACGGAGCTTACCGGCGGCGGCGCTCTCGGGTGCGGCGGCTCTCCGGCGAGGTTCGTGTTTTGGTGATTCGGCTCCGGTCAACCTGTAGAGAAAAGAGTGGTGATCACGGTGATATAAAAATTGCATCAAACGGAGGCCGGGAAGGGCCTCATCGGAGGCAAAAACCGAGAAGGGCGCGGCGGCGCCGCTGGGCTTCGGCCATGCATTCTGGCCGTTTGGCCGGGATTTTTGCTCCGATTTGGCCACAGGAGGAATCAACGTGGAAAAACGAGTCGGGGGTACGAAATTTACCTCGATCGGCGGTCGGAAGTTCCTCCGGTGCGACGGCGGGTGGCAGCGGCCGGCTTCTGGTTCGTCTTCTCCGGCGAGCGGCAGGCGGCTAGGGTTTGTGGTCTGGTGTGGGGGTTCTATTTATAACCCCTTGCTTTTTGATCTCAGCCGTCCATTTTGTTTTAATCTGGACCGTCCGTTTTTGATTAAATCTGGGCCGTCCGTGCGTTTAAATCTGGGTCGTCCGATCGCGCCCACGCGGATCGCCAACGTGGCCCTTTTTGAAACGACGTGGTTTTGCCACGTGGCAGGTCCCGGTTGGCCGGGACTGCTGACCGGGCCTGCTGACGTGGCTGCTGACGTGGCCCTTTTTTTTTTTTCCTCCTCGGTCCGGGCGTTACATCACCCTTATACCATTTATTTATTAAAGAAATAAAAAAACTTTATACCTCTCATAACTAAAATAAATATAATTTTGTAAATTAATTTCATACAAATTTATGAATTTGTTGTTTACAAAACCTATGAAAAACTGAAAATACAATATACAAGTGATCTTTTACAAAAAAAAAAAAAAAAAAAAAAAAAAGAAAATTAAGCATCGGGCGGTTTTTTAACCCCCTAATGCGAAAACAAGAGAAGAATAAAATTTTTGAAATTGAAAACTTTCACATATGCAGGCTGAAAGAATTAGATTGGGCTTTACTTCATTTTATTGTTTTCAAATATACCTGTCTAGGCCCATAATTCCCAGGCCTTAATCAACTTGCTTTCCTGATTTTTTTTTTTTTTACTTCGTATATTATTTAATCGAAGGGAGGCGGAGGCCAAGGCAGTGCCCCGTATAAAAGCCAAAGCCCTAAACGAGACACGAGAACGAAAGGATATAGAACTGTGCAAAGCTGCTAGGGTTTCTCTTTCCTGTTGCCTGCTTATACTCGTAAGGTTCACATCTTCAACATGTTGCAATGTTTATGTGCTAAATTGTTGTGTAAAATTTCTACTCTCTTTTAAATTTATGCTTTTTCTTTTTTTTAAAAAAATATTTGGTTTCAGAATCCCTAAGCAAACTTTGATTTTCCTTTCCCAGCTGCCAAACGCGTATTTCCAGTTTCTTCTTTGGGTTTATATTCGAAATTAGCAAGATAGGTTTTAGATTGGAGATCTCCCATTTGATCCCTAGAGAACGTGAACATTTTTATTCTCCTGTTAGAAAAAATTGTTTTCCTCTATATATCTTCTACTGAAAGGTATTGAAGCATGTAGGTTAGGAAAAGGAAAATATATTAGTTTTCTGTTTAGTCGACATTCCTAATCATTGTTTTCAACTAGGAGTTTGCATATGGTTCTGTCTTTATATTGTTTTGCTGTGGTTAGAAATCTTAGTTCCTTCATCTTCTATTGTGTATTTTTAACAGGTGAATTTGAAACAATGTCGCGAGTGTACGTGGGTAACCTGGACCCACGAGTCACTGAGCGAGAACTTGAGGATGAGTTTCGCGTGTACGGAGTTATTCGAAGGTAAAAATGGATCTTATTTTCTGATTAATACTACGTGCTTTGTGCCATGAAACTTGTTTCAACAAACTAAGAGTTTGTCCCGTGGGTGCTACCAGCAGAAAATCTTTTTGAGTATGTTTGTTTTCAAGGAAGTACTTGGCGACAGCACTGTTGTAATTGTAATACTTAAACAGAAACTTATGAATGCCCTCTGTTAAATGCCAAGTTAGTGGGTTACAATCAATGGCCTAGCAATTTTCTAGTTGGCAGTGTGTTTTCAAGTAGTGGAGGCAGATTTGTCTATGCTTTGTTGCTGTTTCTGCCTTATTTTTCAATATCTTTTACGCTTTGTATGCAGTGTGTGGGTTGCTCGAAGGCCACCAGGCTATGCCTTCATTGACTTTGATGATCCCAGGGATGCAAGGGATGCAATTCGTGATTTAGATGGTATGTCTGAATGTCTAATTACAATGCACCACTTATTCTCTTTTTGTTGTCATAATGAATAGTTTATTTTGATTTTATTTTATTTTTTTGAAATTATTTGATGTTCTTGGAAGTTGGTTATCTGTTCAAAGTCTCAGTTGTGTTTTTTCCTCATGTCTGTATTCATTCATGGAAGATCTTTGATAGAGAAGGAATAACTTTCCTTTGCAAAATAAACAGGTGTTGCTAGTGCAGTAGTTTATTCAGTTTCCAGACACCAATCACTTGTAAACATCCTATGGCCATGGTTATATATGATGTGAATGAGTTAGGTATGGGGAAGAATGTTGATAGGATATGAAATTTTGACACTTGAGCATTATGCATTTTCCCATTTCTTCGTCTTTTGAGACTGCGGTTATGCCATACATATGCGCCAAGTTCTTTTTTTGGGGTTAAAAGGTATGTGCCAGGTTCATTAGGAAATTTCCTGCTGTTCTGAACTAAAATCTGATTAAGAAGCTCATGAAAGGACCATACTGGAGTGGAACTTTTACTAAATTTCAATCTCATTTTGTTGAAATGCTAAATATTTTTGTTGAGTTTCCTGTGATATTCTGATCTTTTAAACTCTTTGTTATTTCCTGTGCTTGTTGAGTGTCTTTTGCTTTTTCATCAAGTATCGCTTTGGTGAATCTGCTGTTATGGGTGTGCTTGAGTTCATCTATTCTTTTCTTTTTAAAAAAACAAAACTTAAACATCTAACGGATTTTGCTGGTTTCTCTTGGTTGAAGTGACATCTTCTAACTGGATGATACTTGAAGCTTCCTTCTAAGTAGTTGCATTTTATGTTTGGGGTAGGCAAGAATGGCTGGAGAGTTGAACCTTCTCACAATTCAAGAGGTGGTGGTGGTGGACGTGGAGGAGGGCGTGGTCGTTCAGGTGGTTCTGATTTGAAGTGCTACGAATGTGGTGAGCCCGGTCATTTTGCTCGTGAATGTCGTTCACGTGGTGGCTCAGGAAGGCGTCGCAGCCGTAGCCCTAGGTACCGTAGGAGTCCAAGCTATGGAAGAAGGTAATGTTATTGACTTGTTCTGTTATTGCTAGCATCAATTTTAATGCCACCATTTATTGACGTATAATTTACCTTATTGCATTATATATGTTTTAATTTTGATTTCCTCCTAAAAGTTAATAGGTTGCATAAAGTGGCCATCATAAATTTTTAATATTATCTTCTGACACTCCTTATTTGAAGCAGGAGTTACAGTCCTCGTGGAAGATCCCCAAGACGTCGCAGTCCTTCTCCTCGTGGACGCAGTTATAGCAGGTCACCAGGATATCGTGGACGAGAGGAGTTGCCATATGCCAACGGGTGAAGTTTCTTTAGTAGCTTGATTTTAATTACTCTATTGGCGAAAGCTTTCACATTGAATTATAGCAATTAAGACCTTGCACCTATATAAGATCTAAATGAAATGCCTGACATAAGCTACTACACTGTGCATTATGTTTCGACAACATCTTTCTCAACCACATAAATACTTAATCTGGTGTGCTGGTGCACACACTCATCTCATTGGGACAGTTCTTTATTTCATATTATCACTGTGGGCTTTGCCTTTGCTTGCTGTTTCTCATTCAAAAGTTTTTACTGGATTTGCACAGAAATGGCTTGAGGGATCGTCGACGAAGCAGGAGCTGAATGTTGACAAGTGATGGTGTTGCTTTTGTTGAGATGATATGAAGCTTAAGTGTGTTTAGTATGTTTGAACTTCAGTAAGACTATGTTTTAATTGGGCGACGCCCCCAGCCTCATGAACCTGGATAAGTTAGTTTCTTTCTTATAGCTATGATGATTCTCTCTTTTATTTAGCTAAGAAGAGTAGTTGTATTTTCTTTATAGGAAAAAGATTTAAATTGTTACATACTTATTGAGAGACATAATTCCTAAGATCAGTGCTGAAAATCTATGCTTTTTCCTTTTTGTGTTGAGGTGTCTTCTGGGTCTCTGCTTCATTGGCTTTGTGCTTCTACACTGCCCTGGGGCTTCATTGTTTGCTGCCTGCTATGGGATCTTCAATTTTTGATGATTGTCGGTCCCAGCCGGCTTCATCTCTAGATGCTTCTGTTTGATTATCTCATCAGCTGTGATGTGACTCCTCCAAAATCTAGTGGCATTTCTTTTGTTTAACTTAAAAAGGGATTGAGGAGCTGCTTCAAACACTTCTGGCAGGTACTTTAATCTGTTCTACAGAAGTTTGGGGTTCCGTTTAAAATAATGTGCTCTGAAATGCTTAAAATCTCTGATGATTTGCGAACGTGGTAATAATAACAGAATTTGATTCTTCAAAGTTCGCAGGATAATGGTATGATTTCTTGCTTTACCTTTGCCTTCTTTTTAGTTGGGAGAGGGTCAGGTTTATTGAATGGTTTCCTGCAGTTAAAGGCTTTTCTTACCCCAACGCCCTGCTTGGTCATTCAGATGTCAGTGCAGTGGAAGGAATATGGAATACTTTCTGGTTGAATGGTTTATAGATTGATTTGAACCATCTTTTTTCGTTGTCATCATCCAAATGCAAGAGGTGAAATTTTAAAGTGCTAGGGTATGCCCCTTATTTTGTGAGGGTGAGAGTTACGGGGGGAAGAACTAAGATGATCATTTTTTGCTCCGTTTTTCTAAGTTTCAATTTTGTTTTTTGTTTGTTTTCTTTTACCCTTTTTGGGGTTTTATGAGGGAGGTGGAGGGTAGTATTGGTAAGGTGGATAGAGATACAAGATGAGAGCTATAGTCCTTTTATGGCCTCTTCTCATTTGAAGGTGGTTAAGATATTCTACCATGGGATTTGGTTTTGCTTCTGGCTTTATGCATTGATATGTTGCAAGCATGAGTTCCACGTCCTGTTTTGTTTTCTGCTGGGCAACCCGGATCTGGCAGCTACACGATTTTTGGTTAAAACTGCATTTTTGCTTGGAGATGATGTCTCTTTCAGTCGGCAAGGAAAGAATCTCAAGATTTTTGTAGTATCTGTAAAGCTAACTCAGCTTCTCTTGCTCGTTTCATTCTATTTTGTGAAATCTGGTTGTGGCTTGCAATTGTGCACCCTGAGAAGATGGTGTATTTTTCGTAACTAATAAAGGAGAAAAGAAAACCGAAGTTGAACAAATTGACTAGTGAAATAGAATAGAACCCTATTATTATTGTTAAAAACGAACGAGACGAAATGATTGGATGTTAATCTATTACCTCTACAAGCTTAAAGTGGCCAAAAAGTGTAGAGACAATTGGTTGTTAAGAATCAAATCGGTAATGATTAAAAGTTTTAATTTCATTTAGTCGTGATTGGTATTTTAATGGAAATCCTTAATTGTGTTATAGTGAGGCAGGCACCTGTCTTGATCAATAATATTACTCTTGCGGGAATCTGTGACATTACTTATTTCGTCTGCCTGTAAAATTGAAACCTTGCAATCTGATCGGAGAATTTTATAGGAAGTACGATTTTACAGTATGAATATAGACTGTTAATATTTAAATAAGAACAAAAATATAAAAAAAAAAATGAATTCATGAAATGCAGTTTAAAAATAAATAAAATTCTCATTTTGTGAGGAATTTTTCATGTTTCAAGATTTGCGTTCATAATCAATCAATCTAGTGTGTTATATTTAATTTTCTCATTAAAAGCAAAAAAAATAACTTATGATATCCTAACTGAGGAAAGAATGATATGTTTGTATTTATACATTGATATGTAAAGAAATAATGTATTTGTGTTCATACGCCAACTGTTGTGGTAAGTTTACAATTGGGGAAGTCGCGAAAATCTTGCCTCCGGAATGAATATAAAAATCTTTATATCAAAATCTTCTTCTGTTTTCTTTTCCTTTTTCCTTTTTTTGTTAATATATATATTTTTTTCTTTTATCAGCGCATTATACGCGGTCTTTTTAATTTTTTATTTATATAATAAATTTTTTAGTCGTCAATGATGACTCTCACGTTCTCCTTCATATTGAATGCTGTCTTCTAAGCAGTATGCTTCGAGTTCATCAACTCCCCCCCACCCAAAAAACAATATTAAATAGATGAATTAACGGCCTGCATCAGCTCCACGCTTCTTTTCCTTCATTGTTAGTTATTTGGTTTAATGGAAGTCAACCAAATGAGACAACCGTAAACTATCTCTTTCTCTTTCTCTACTTCTTCCTCTTCCTCTTCCTCTTCCTCTTCTTCTTTCTCTTTCCTTACCTGAAGCCTCACATTTCTCTCTCTGTCTGCCTCCGTCTTTCTTTCACATCTCAAAACGCCTTCAGCTTTCAATCAAGATGCGTTTCTTAAGGACGGCGATATGAACTCCACTGCTAAAATGGGGAATTCTCGCAGTCCCTTTTTTAATATCGCTGTTTGGATCTCTCATTTATGTCACAACATTGTTTAGTACTTGTTTCCTTCTGCTACATTCTCAAAAATGGACTTCAAGAAAGAGAGACTCGTCAGGTAATTCTCTACCATCTGCTCTCTCTCTCTCCTTTCTTCATATATGGTTATAAGATGAATGGCTTTCCCCTCCGATTCCCAGGTTCCACAATGATGAAAAACGGAATCCCCAACTTTCGTGGGAAAAAAATGGCGCTGGTCAGCTAGACAAGCCCCTGCCACTATACAAAGTATCGGCTCCTTTACTGAAACCTGAAGGAGTTGTCATCAGTGAAAACACTAAACCGAAAAAAATTCCAAGGTTCGGAAGGTTCAAGGTCTTTCCAGAGAACCACGAGCCATTGAGGGGGCAGATTCTTGATCCGGCCAGTGATATTTTCTTGCAATGGAACAGGGTTTTCCTCTTCTGGTGCTTAGTGGCCCTGTTTGTTGATCCATTGTTCTTCTACCTCCCCTCGGTGGTGACCAATGCGAAGTCTTCTTGTATGCAAAGTGATTCGAAATTGGGGATTGTTGTCACTTGTTTTCGGAGTTTCGCAGATGCGTTTTATCTGTTGCACATGTTCATTAAGTTTAGGACAGCTTATATATCGCCTACTTCACGGGTTTTTGGGCGGGGTGAGCTTGTAAAGGATCCCGAGCTGATTGCCCGGCGGTACCTAAAGTCGGACTTCCTAATAGATCTGCTGGCATCACTACCTCTACCCCAGGTACTTTCTCCAATTTATTTGCGGCCTTTTGGGTTATTATTACTTTGATACATCAGTGATTATTCTACGGTTATATGCCGTCTGGACATGATCAAGATTCTTTCTTGAGAGAGAGAAATAACAATTGGTTGATTTCTTTTTCCTTTTGAAGTGTCATTAAGAGTTAAAAAGAAGGGGCACAGATGTTTTAGTTCATCTTCACCCTCCATGTTTGGTCGTTCACAATGTAGAAAACAAATTGCCAATTTTTACTAGTTGAATGTTTCCTTCTTAGGTAACAATTTCTGTATAATTGAGTTTACATGTTTCCCTGGGTTTCTGACGGTTAGCTAAGTGATCTCAAATTGTGAGAATATCCTCATAGCTCGAAGTATTATTGCATATCTCTGCTTTCCACAATGATTTTCTTGATATTGGTGAAGAGAAAGTAACAGAAAAAATTTGCAAAAGTAACAGAAAAAATTTGCACTTTTGCTATTTCTTCTTTTGGCAGATTGTTATCTGGTTCATCATTCCGGCAACTAGAAGCTCCCATTCCGATCATACCAACAATGCCCTTGTCTTGATTGTTCTGCTCCAATATTTACCCAGATTATACCTGATTTTCCCTTTAAGTTCTCAGATAATAAAAGCAACTGGAGTGGTTACAAAGACTGCCTGGGCTGGAGCCATATATAATCTCCTGCTATACATGTTAGCTAGTCATGTACGTAAATTCTTACCCGCTTTAAGGAAACTTACTGACCCTTCAAGTAGGCTCGTTTTGAACCAGATTTCTGTTGTTGTAGGTATCAGGGGCATCATGGTATTTGTTGTCAATTGAGCGCCATGCAACATGCTGGAAGTCTGAATGCAGAAAGGAGTTTACTCCTTTGAAATGCATTCCCCATTATTTGGACTGCGGCACATTAAGCGACGGTGGCCGCAAGCAATGGGAAAACACTACTGTTGTATTTAGAAATTGCAACCCTGCAAATGATATCAGCTTCAACTATGGCATATTCGAAAATGCATTGACAAACAATGTCCTTTCCTCGAAGTTTATTGAGAAATATTTATACTGTTTGTGGTGGGGCTTGCAAAATCTGAGGTATGTTTTTATGGATATGCTAATATGATAAATTTGCTGCAATTACAGTTTGACTTACGCATGAATTTTAGATGAAATGTTTGAGCATTTGTTTCTGCATACTATTTGAGGTTACAAACTTCGACCGGAACAATTTTTGCAACATGTGATATTATAATACTAATTACTTGTAGCCTATACAGGATTTTAGTTGGATACATGTTTTTAAGGAATGGATTCCCTGTTAACTAGAAACGCTGATGGAAAGTGTTACTGCATAAAATGGTTCTTTTTTCTATTTTTTGATGCGCCTATTCTGCTATCTTAATTTTCAGTTCCTATGGCCAGA